GCTCTATACTTCCCTCTTAGGACCACCTTTGCTGCATCCCAAAGATTTTGAACAGTTGTGTTTTCATTTTCATTTGTTTCCGTGATTTTTAAAATTCTTCTTTAATTTCCTGGTTGACGCATTCATTTTTTAATAGGATGCTCTTTAGCCTCCATGTATTTGAGTTCTTTCCAACTCTCCTCTTGTGATTGAGTTCAAATTTCAAAGCATTGTGATCTGAAAAAATGCAGGGAATGATCCCAATCTTTTGGTACTGGTTGAGACCTGATTGGTGACCCAGTATGTGATCTATTCTGGAGAATGTTCCATGTGCCCTAGAGAAGAATGTGTGTTCTGTTGCTTTGGGATGGAATGTTCTGAATATATCTGTGAAGTCCATCTGGTCCAATGTGTCATTTAAAGCCCTTATTTCCTTGCTGATCTTTTGCTTAGATGATCTGTCCATTTCAGTGAGGAGGGTGTTGAAGTCCCCTACTGTTATTGTATTATTGTCGATGTGTTCCTTTGATTTTTGTTATTAGTTGGTTTATATAATTGGCTGCTGCCATGTTAGGAGCATAGATATTTACAATTGTTAGATCTTCTTGTTGGATAGACCCTTTAAGTACGCTATAGTGTCCTTCTTCATCTCGTAGTACAGTCTGGTTTAAAATCTAATTTGTCTAATATAAGGATTGCCACTCCAGCTTTCTTTTGATGTCCATTAGCATGATAAATGGTTTTCCATCCCCTCACTTTCAATCTATAATGAGTCTCTTGCAGGCAACATATCAATGGGTCTTGCTTTTTTATCCAATCTGATACCTTGTGTCTTTTGATTGGGGCATTTAGCCCATTTACATTCAGGGTAACTATTGAAAGATAGTAATTTAGTGCCATTGTATTGTCTATACGGTGACTGTTACTGTATATTGTCTCTGTTCCATTCTGCTCTATGTTACTTTTGGGCTCTCTCTTTGCTTAGAGGACCCCTTTCAATATTTCTTATAGGGCTGGTTTGATGATCACAAATTCTCTTAGTTTCTGTTTGTCCTGGAAACTTTTTATCACTCCTTCTATTTTCTTTTCTTTTCTTTTTTTAAAAATTTTATTTATTTTTGAGAGAGAGAGAATGAGAGGGGTGAGGGTCAGAGGGAGAAGCAGACTCCCTGCTAAGCAGGGAGCCCGATGTGGGACTCGATCCCGGGACTCCAGGATCACGACCTGAGCTGAAGGCAGTTGCTTAACCAACTGAGCCACCCAGGTACCTTTTTTAAAATTTTATTTATTTTTGACTCCTTCTATTTTCAATGACAACCTAGCTGGATAAAATATTCTTGGCTGTATATTTTTCTCATTTAGTACCCTTTTTAAAAATAATATTTTATTTATTTTTTTATTTGAGAGAGAGAGAGAGCATGAACAGAGGAAGGAGTAGAGGGAGAGGGAGAAGTAGACTCCCTGCTGAGCAGGGAGCAGGGAGCCCAATGTGGGACTCGATCCTAGGACTACAGGATCATGACCTGAGCCAAAGGCAGGCACTTAACTGACTGAGCCACTCAGGTGCCCCTTGGAGCCCTTTCTTAAATTTTGTGCCTGAGGTGAATGCCTCACTTGCTTCACCCTAGTCCTGGCCCTGCCCCAAATGCATGTTTCCCAGCTGCCTGGTTTGAGAAGCACTGGGAGTCATAGAATCTTTAACAAATATGAACGGTGTCCCTGTCCATGCCATTTTACAGATCAGGAAACAGAGGCTGAGAGAGGTATGTGTTTCTCCCCTCACACACCTGCTGGAGGATCCTCAGCCTCAAAGAATCTTCACGCTAAAGGGGAGGTTGAAAGTGGAAGCAAATGGAGGAATAAGAAGGTCCTTTGCTCCCACCTGGATGCAGGGCATGTGCAGACTTAACTTAGGAAAAGGATGGCAAAGGGAGGAGAAGGAAGTCTTTTTTTTGCATTTTGAAAGTATACAGTATTGTTGTAAGTTTTCTTTTTTTTTAAATATTTTATTTATTTGACAGAGAAAGACACAGCGAGAGAGGAAACACAAGCAGGGGGAGTAGGAGAGGGAGAAGCAGGCTTCCTGCTGAGCAAGGAGCCCAATGTGGGGCTCGATCCTAGGACCCCGGGATCATGACCTGAGCCGAAGGCAGACGCTTCACCGACTGAGCCACCCAGGCACCCCGTTGTAAGTTTTCTGTAGCGAACACAGAATAAGATAGGCGGTGTAGCATAATAGCTAAAAAAGAGACAGTCTAGATTTGAATCCTGGCTCCTCAATTATACACCTTCATGACCTTGGACAAGTCACTTAACCTCTTCTCAGTTTCCTTATCCATACCATGGGGATAATTTATACCTATTTATAAGGTTTTATGAGGATTATGTGAGTTCATATTTGCCATGAACATTTCATTTGCTGTGAACAGTGGCTGACATGGTAGATGCCATGTGTTGTTAAATAAAAGCAACATTACTTTTATAGAAAATGCAAAAAAAGATTAATTTTAAAATTACCCAAGTAATACAGGAACATAATTTTTTTTGTAAAGGACACACGGACTTTTTTTTTAAGATTTTATTTGAAAGAGAGACACAGCGAGAGAGGAAACACAAGCAGAGGGAGTGGGAGAGGGAGAAGCAGGCTTCCCACCGAGCAGGGAGCCCGATGTGGGGCTGGATCCCAGGACTCTGGGATCATGACCTGAGCCCAAGGCAAACGCTTAACTACTGAGCCACCCAAGTGCCCCTTTTTATTTTTTTTTAAAGATTTTATTTATTTATTTGACAGAGAGAGACACAGCGAAAGAGGGAACACAAGCAGGGAGAGTGGGAGAGGGAGAAGCAGGCTTCCCCCTGAGCGGGGAGCCTGATGTGGGGCTCGATCCCATGACCCCGGGGCCACGACCCGAGACACAGGGCTCGGGCTAGATGTTAGATGCCTAACGACTGAGCCACCCAGGCGCTACCACATGGACATTTTAAAGTGAAATAATCCTTGGTGACAGACTAGTTTACAGCCTATTCAGATTCACAATAAAAAAATATTTGAGTGCTAAGGCAGGAGCAGGAAGGCATGAGAAGTGTGTGGGTGGCGTTCTAGGGACAGTTCCTTCCCTGGTGTCTCTGCAGTGGGGGAAAGGGAAAGGGTAGGGTTCATAGACATGGATTACCCAAGAGCACTGGCTGATCTTGCGCCGGGGAGGACCCCTCTAGCATATTTCTGCCATGAGGCACATGCTGAGCCATGAGCAGAAAATGCTGACATTTTGGTTTGCTGGCTAGCCTCCCTGATGTGCAGGCCTGCTTGCCATTTGGTTTTGTGAAATAAAAAGCATTTGAGGACCCCCAGGACTATCATTGTGAATTCCTAGTGGCCTAGGAACTGCAAAGGAAGAGCTGTTCAGGAAAGCAAATACCCCTATTAGTTCGGATGTGGATTTCACACCAACAAGTGCCCGAAGGTGTCAGGATGGTTCCCAGCATCACACAGCACCCCATGAAGAGCTGGCAAGGGTAGCTGCCTCCTTGCAAGGAGATGGGGAAAGACTTGGAGATCTATTCGGCTAGTCAGAGCAGGCCCCTACTGCCTCCTTGTACCCCACCCTCGCCTCCTCAGCACTTCTTGACCTCATCCCAGGAAGAATGAAGATTGCAGGGGTTGGGGGTGGGGAGCCAAGATGTAGGCATTTGGGTGTGAAAGACCTCTCCTGAACACTGGGAAAAGTTTACATTTCATTCCTACCTATCAGCGTGGGGAACCGCTCATGGGGAACAAGAGTGAAGACTCCAGAAAGGAAGGTCAGCAAGAAATCACAGCCACAGTTTGCTCGAGGGTGCCCCACCCTCAGAGACCTTGAGAGTACCCCCTACACCTGATTCCGGTCTGGCCCCGTCCTGGCCCTAAAATGACGTCTTCCTGATGGGAAACTAGGGTCACTAATTTCTCTTCCAACAGGCCAGGCGGGGATGGAATTCAGGCACACCCGTGGGGCCGGGCGCTGTTTGGCCTGGTTCTGGGCCGCACTGCCCGAGGGCTTTTCTCCTAGGACCTGTAGCTTTTCCTCTTCAGAGTCGATCATTAACCTGAGAGCTTCCGCAAGAGAGGCCGTTAGAACAAAAGGCTGGTTGAGGCTGGAAATGCTGAGGTGGCTTCCCCAGAGGGCCTGAGTCCCCCAGGCACGCTCCTGCGGTGGCGAGGCAGGAACCTGGCCGGGATCCAGCCTCGCAGGCCACTTCCGCACACGCTGACCGGGCAGGTGGGATGGCAGAGGCCTGGATGGGGAAGCAGCCCCTTTGCTTTTGGGCAATGCGACATGTTAGGAGAGTGGAGGGGAGTGGGCCGATGGCTGGGGCAAACAGCTTCCAGCCACACAGAAGTGGGTGGAGAGTGGACAGCTTCAGTTTCACATCTGCTCCAGAGGTTGAAACAGCAGGTGTATGAGAGGCTTTGCTCTGTCAGTAAGCCCTCAACCTTTCTTTGGGCCTGAGATCAGCCTGGGTTCCTCGCCTTAACCTCCCAGCCCCAATTAAGCAACTGGGACAGAACCCCCCAAACCATCTGTTAGGTGCCACTCTCAGCCGGGTCACCTGCAGGGGAGGAGCGGAGAGAAGCCATCTGCTCCAAGCCCCGCCCATTCAGGCCACAGGGCCTTCGGGAACACTTCCCTGGGCCCCCGGTGCCGGGACCAGCCTGGAGAACCAAAGCCAGGGGCCTCTATGGGGCTTAGGAGGGTGGTCGCCACGGTGGGGGACCCTGTGCACCCGGGTCAGGAATCTGCCCTCCGGAGGCCACCGCACTGCCCCCAGTCCTGGGGGAACTCCAGCCTGCCTCAGAGCCCTTCTCCTGGGGCTGCGGGAACGGAGGGGGTCTGCCTGTTTCCTGGGATTCCCGGGACGTCCGGGGCCGCGGGTCGGGAGGCCGGTGGGCCGCCCACCCCATCCCTCCAACCCGGGGCGGGGACCCCCGGCGGCACCCGCCCCCGGCGCCCCTCCCCGCGAGTCCAGCCAGCGCTGGAGTCCAGCTTTATTGACCGCTGCCTACGCCTCCGCCTCCGCCTCCGCTTCCGCCTCCGCGTGCTGCTTGAGCGTGACTGAGGAGCCGCTGCTGACCATGACCGCGGGGTAGAGCGGCTCCAGGAAGCGGACGAGGAAGCGGTAGAGCAGGCTCACGCCGCCCGCCACGCAGTAGAAGGAGAGGCAGCCGGCACCGCAGTCGAGCGCCACGCCGAGCGTGCGGTGGTAACCGCCGTGCAGCACCGTCTGCGTGTTGTTGTGCCACACGGAGAGCTTGAGCGAGTCCCACTCCAGGCACCACGAGTAGGGGTTGCGGCCCAGCAGGTAGACGACGTCGCGGCGCGGGCGGCCGCCGGGCGGGCGGCTGCGGCGGTAGGTGAGGCCCAAGCACACCCACGAGTTGGACACGTCGGCCTCCCAGTAGTGGCGGCCCTCGGACAGGCCGCGGGAGCACAGCACCTGCGACCACTGCTTGCAGCCGGGGAAGGAGCCGCCCGTGGCGAAGGGCTCCAGCAGGATGCTCAGGTTCAGCACCGAGTGGGTCTTTTTGAACAGGAACAGCTCCTCGCTGGCCGTGGTGGGGTCAAAGTTCAGGTTGCAGTAACCTGGCGGGAGGGGACGGGAAAGGGAGCCAGGGTGAGCGCCCCCGGGGCTGAGGACAGGAGACTGAATGGGATTGAGGGAAGTCGAGGGCTCCTGGAGGAGGTGACTCAGGAATTCACCAGAGAGACCCACTATATCTCAGAGAAGTCACTGAGATGTGCCTCCCAGCCCTGCCCAGGAGAGGGGCTGCAGAAGCATCAAAGGAAAAGGGAGATTGTCTGAGGAAGAAATGGACAGTGTCATCCAAGCTGGCTTGGCTAAAGCCCGGGTGTGTGTGTGGGGGGGGTGTGGGGATACTGGCAGGGACCGAACTGAGGGCAGAAGTTGTGCCCCACCAGAGCCAGGGAGGATGGCAGAACCAGCAGCTGGGCGGTAGGCAGGTCCTTGCCCCACCCATGGGGTAGGACAGGGTAGTCCTCCCTTCCCTATTAGGGCCTTGGAGTCACAGGCTGAGTCCTTCTGAGATCTTCAGTTGTAAGTGGGAGGTCAGAGAGCTGGCATCTCTCTGGAGCCCTGGTCTGAATGCAGGTGGGGCTGGGGAAGACAAGGCCCCCCCGTGGGGCGGGGGGGCTGCTCCTTTCTTTCCCACCCCTTGTTCTGGACCCCAGCACTGAGGACTCACACTTGAGAAGTGTTTTTCTGTCCACAGCCGGGGGCAGCACCTCATAGGAGTTCATTTTAATGCCTAGGGGAAATGGAGGGGCTTTGCTGAGGACACTCTTACAGCCCAGCGTCTTCCGGAGAGAGGCCTGGGCTTCCAGGAGGCTGCGTCACCTGGGGGAAGATGCACAGGGGCAGGCAGGGCTCTCTGCAAGTGCCTGGAACCCCGAACACTGCCCTGTAGGGCAGTCCCACCCCCCGAATGCAGGTGAGTCTCCAGTGGCCCTGGGCTTCCTGGTACTGACCCTTCAGGAGGAGCTGATTGATGAAGCTGAGACCCACATCCATCAGCTGGCTGCGGAGCTCCGCCAGGGTCTCTGGCAACTGGAGGAAGGGCTGCTTCTCCTCACAGTTGGTTCCCATCAGGGGTTCCACGTAGGCAGGGAAGTGCTTCAGCCTGGGGAACTCCTGAAGGCAGGGAGCAGCCGGCGGTAACACCTGTGAGCCAGGGCCCAGGCGGATGCCAGGAGGTCCCGCTTATGCTAGGGGCTCAGGGGTCCCCAGAATCACGGGGCAGGTGGAGAAATGGCTCATTTTCAAACCTGGACATCTCTCCCCCTTCCTGCTGGTTGTGAGGTCTTAGATGAGGGCTTTGCCAAAAGCGTGGCCGCTGTGGCCTAGTGCATTAAGCAAAGTGTATGAGAAAACAATGGGAAGAGGATTTTTGAGCTTTTAATCACTTAGTGAAAAACCTTGGGGCGCCTGGGTGGCTCAGTCGTTAAGCGTCTGCCTTCGGCTCAGGTCTTGATCCCAGGGTCCTGGGATCGAGCCCCACATCGGGCTCCCTGCTCGGTGGGAAGCCTGCTTCTCCCTCTCCCACTCCCCCTGCTTGTGTTCCCTCTCTCGCTGTGTCTCTGTCTGTCAAATAAATAAATAAAATCTTAAAAAAAAAAAAAAAA